TAAAGAGCAAGAATATGAATATTCAATCCTTAAAATTTTAAGACAATATACAGAAAACATATTTCTGTTACAATAAAGGATTCTAGAATCAGAGAGGTACAGAGGTTTGTTATTAGTTTAAGTTTTCTATAATAATGATTTTATTATGATTATGTATAGGTACCTATATTGTATTACTAAATAATACATGCGAAATAGACGTAGAAAATTTTTAAATTTTTACCTGATAAAATACATTCGTTTTCAATGTGAAGTGAAAATTAAATCAGTTCTGATTATGATTCTGAATACTTTTAATCAAGGTTTATTGAGCTTTAGATCATTTTGTAAATTTCATATGTAATTGTAAGAAAAAAATTAATAATTTAAAAATGTTTGTACTCAGAACTCAAAATTATATAAAGGTAGTTCTATTTATGCACATTAATTGTTTAAAAATAAACCAAACAACAGTTACTTGTTCGTGTTTGTACAAGCTTTAATTACTTATTAGATTTCATTTTTGTTATCTATGTATTTTTTGAAAACTCACCGGTTATTTAGGAATTTCAAATTTTAATTTTTTTAATGAGTAGGGTCCTCAAAAAAAGTTATGCATGGGGTTGCGAATGTATCTGCCACTGGGTTCAAGCCAATTTTAATTTGTATGATATAAAAGCGCGACAGGGTGTCGTAAGATTACATGTGCTTTGATGAAAATGTGTTTTTGAGAAGTCGAAGGAAATGATTCGTAATTTTGGCCCTTATTTAACCAATAACAAGGTGATGCACTTTGCATTTATTTTATTAATTATTTTCTTCTTGAAAAAGGGCTCACAAGCATGGGCGTAGCGACAGATTTTTTCTAGGGGGGCAGGTTCAATGTGTTTAATTTCTATGTTTCTGAACTTTGTCCCGATACCATGATTTGGGAAAGGGTGAGCTTGCCAGAAAGAGGGCAGTTCCGCCCTTGCTCCTACCTATCTACGATCATGCTCACAAGAAGACTTGTGCATCGAGTCCCGATTGTCTTTTATCCTTTTTTTTTCGAATTTATTTTTTCATTGCTTTCCGTGGGCACTGACCCCAAATGCCCTTATGCAAATCCGTCTATGAGTTCAGTGATTTTTTTAATAAAATATTCCCTTCCAAAGAATCATTTCTTTTTTATACCTACCCTTAATTAATATTAAAAAAACTCCATAAATATTTCTTTTATTGGTCCACACAAAAATATCAGTTGCAGTTTCGTATAGTTGTATATTGGCGTTTACAAAAAACAAACAAAAAAAAATGTTTTACTTCTGGTACCTACATATTTTTATGCGTGAGGAAATGCTAAAATTATCCGATGAAGCTTGTATATTGATAGGTAATAACAACAGATAATATACATAGATATATGTATGTATAAGGCAGTGGAAAATAGGGAAAAAATGCTTTTGTCTTCTCATATTTGATATATAGACTTATTCGTGTGTAAATGTATAATATATACTGGACTGATGACGTTATTATTTAATTTATTTTAATATATTTATTAAAAACCTTTTTTTATCATCTAATTGTAAATAATGGGTATACAGTGTTACGACTAAAATTGATCATAATATTCCTGGAATAATTTTANAAAAATAATCAGTTCAATACATACGGATACATGTACATATAATGAATTTGATTATATGTATATATACTGTACAGTTATTTAACAAAAATACATACAAGAATAGTGCTGTGTATAGTTGTGGTGTATACATAGATTTTTTTTTTACATTTACTTACTTACATAAATACATACCTAAATGTACATAGATATATATATGCGTGTGGTGTTTTGTTTGTTTTCTTTTTTTTGGTATAATTACAATCATACTATATTTTAATTAATTTCATTAATTGATATGTTTCTTTAACGAATTTTGTTAGATATCTATATTAAGTTCAAAACGATGATACGCAATGTACACATTTAAATTAACGATATATTTGATAAATTAAATAATGTACTTTGTTTTTCATAGGGAAATGTTTTTTTATTGTATTGATTTATTCAACCTTTTAATTACTTTTTTGCATTTTACTAGAGTATGGTTGTAACTACCACAAATAATTGTTTTAGAAATTCTACGTTTTGTTTACTTCAAGAGCAAAATTAGTTTAATACTTGTGGAAGTAGTAGGAGCTATTTTATTTGAGTAAAAATTAAATTAATGTGAAATGTATTTAGTATCACATGTGTAGATACTACGAAACATTTGTGTCGAGTTTTTTGTTTCTATTTTTAGGTCAAGATTAAGCTAATTTTGTAAAGAACCGCTAACATCCTAAAAAGTCTTGTTTACTTGGAGTTCTATGTAATTAAGCTAAGGCCGAGCCCTTTTTAGTTATTTAGTTTGCCAGAAGAATAGAAAGTTTGTACTTTGTTTCTCTCAAAAGGAAAGAAGCTTGGCTCCCTTGACCCTCTAAACTGGTTAGCAGGAGAATTAAAGCGATTACTAGGCGGCTTTAACCAAAACGTTGTTGTTAATATTTATTTAGTGTGCTTTAAATAAAGTTATATTCTGTTCTACGGATGTTCTAGGTCCTAGATAATCAATCATATTAACTTTTTTGGCTTAGATTGTATCGTGCTAAATGCCTATCGCTTTTGTTCTTGTCTAGTTTTCTAATGTAATCTAAAATCTTTGATGTGAGATTGGGACGTTTCTTCAGGACTAGGACTATCATCTCGACGGGATCTGACCCTTACAACGTGTCGATGGGTGTTATCTTGTCCATCTGGCGTGAAAGGGCTCGTGATCCCATAACTGGGCGTCATTGCCGTAACAGATGCCAGGCGAGCCTTTTCCGAATTCAAATCTTCAGAATTCGAAAATAAAAGACCAATGTTGAGTTGAGGTATGTCGTAGAAAACCGCCAAAGTTAACATCATGAATGTGATTCCCAGGAAGAGGTAGACTGGAAGTTCAAAAAACATTTTTCTGATTTTATGCCTAAAAATGGCAAAAATCATAGTATGGTAACAACAAATCACTCTGATCGCCATTAAACTTGTTCACTGCGAATACGTGTCTTACCTGCTTTTAATGTGAGCGTTATCAACATGAGAGTGGTTCTTATAATTTGATATGCTAAAATTTGAGAATTTACTCTTCCTAAATGTTCAAAGTAAGTGTCATTAAACCTGAATAATCGGAAGGACGAAGACGTGATAGAAACAAGATACTGGGAAAGGGAAGGGCTACTTTATTATTTATACGAGAAGTTGGCTGAAGACATTTTTCCCTTTCTCCCCTGCCAAATAATTGGTACCTATAATGGCCTGAGATAGAGGGGTTTTAGTCGGTAGGTTTGAGGACACCTTGCTAGGGAATCCGACACTACCCAGTTGTACGGTCGGCTGGGTGTCTTTCGAAGATTTCCCCTGTTCCACGAAAACAAAAAAAAAATGAAGACAGTTGTATGAGATTGTCCATATCACATCGTCTTTTTTAAAAGATGCAGCCGCTCTTTGATGATTGCAAGTAGTAGAGTATCATTTTGTTAGGATCTTTACTAACCATTACTGTATGTCTTTCATTTGATATCACTTACGATCATATACACTAATGGCGAATAGACAATCAAACATAAGGATATTCTACCAAAGCTTTTCATGTAAATAATAAAGTAGATAATGTAAGTCCAATAAATGAAACTTGCAAGGATTTTGAGGGCTGTTATACTTTGTTCAAAGGATTTTGAGAGTTCGGTTAGTTTAGGACAATTTTCAGAGAGTATGTGATATTCTTAGATAGACGCGATTATTAATACGCATTCATGTACCATGAAAAGAAAAACTGCCGACAAAGAAATATGTAATTTCTTCGTTTGGTGAATTTTTCTACTTACCTGTATATATTAGACTCGAAAAATGATCGTCTGCAAGAAAACTTAGCCTTACCTAGCAAAAATTCGTACTTTTTCGCACAAAAATAAATATATAGCTGTGGCGCGTCTTTTAGTCACGCACGTTTGAACAGTATGACCAGTCGTTTCGCACTCTTTTTTAATGAACGTAGAAAAACGACCAAATAGGTGCTAAAATGATGTAAATACAAAAGATTCCAAAGGATCCCAAAATCAAACAAGACTTAAATTCAGTTGAAATGATCGGTAACAGAATAATCCCATATTTTTTTTTTGTTTATCAGTACCGAAAATGTATTATTTGCATGAGGGGTACGCACCTGTTGTGAGTATTTTGTAAAGAGGCCTGTACGGTTGATCGGGAGCATCACCGGGTATGTAATCTCCCAGACCAATCGTTGTTAATGAAATAAAACAGTAATAGAAAGCGTCCAAATAATTCCAGTCCGGTTCTATAGCAGCAAATGCAGCAGCTGGGATCAGCATGAAAATTGTTACCAGAAGAAGGACTAAAAAGAGTAGGGAAAAATTAATTAACGTTATTGTGATCTAAGATATCGTACCAATTACGAAGAGATGAAGGAGTCTTATATTGAACGGTTGGTAGAGATGGCCGAGTCTAGAGTTTAACCATTGAAGGAACCATATCGTCGGTACGAGAAGTCTCTCCACAAGGGCAGACAGTAGTACCAGTGTTAATGGAATTCCGACAACGGCATATAAAATGCAAAATACCTTTCCAGTTCTGCTTAATGGAGTTACATGTCCGTATCCTTAAAAATTGAAAAATAAATAATTCTTGCGTAAGTACGTTAATAAAAAAAGATTTTTTATACCAATTGTTGTTACGACAGTGCTCGAAAAGAAAAGGGATTGTCCGAAACTCCAGTTAGGTTCCCCAGTCACATTTCTAGAAGCCGAAACTCCTCTGTTGCTTGCATAGATTATTTCACTTATCAAATCTTCCAAAGCTGCGTCTACAATAATTACAGGTTACATTTAAATATTAATTTTATATTTATTTTTTTGAAATTGAGTGAAGGTATTAAATTTATTTAGAAAGGAATTTAGTATCCCCTCTACTGAAATTTATTCTAAATCGAGAGCTGTACTAAGAAGAATTTTAATAAAATGAAATCTATACTTTGACTGATGCATTTTTTGTGAAATATATTTTAATATTATAGTAACATGAAATAAAGCACAATGGAATATGTTATTCTGAATTCTCAATTCATGTCAATTGAATTACAATACAGGGGAGTGGGGATGCTATAAAGTATACAGCACTAATGGCGAATCATTACTATTTAATTCTAATTGATTAGGTAATTATGTATTTATTGAAAAAAGGTTTGAATGAAGTACTTTCTTAATCTCTAATGATTGTAACTTTAAGTTTGTACTTTTTGAAATGCCATGATGTAAAATTTTGATGTTATTGGTATCTAATTGTAGGGAATAGAGAAATAGGAATAGGGAATTCCCTTCGAATTCTTTTAGGAAGCATCAATTTTAATGAAAATTGATCCTCTATGAAAGTTATATGTTTCTGATGTGTGCATTTTATCCTTAAGGGATGAGAACAACTTGTTCTGACAAAAAATTGAAAAACAATACATTTAAGCAATACTTGGATAAAATAATATTCCAACATGTATAATAACCTTTTTGCATGGTATGCACTTATGAGTACTGTAAATGTTTCAACCTTTACAAACCACCCCTAAAGGCGAAACCCACAAAAAAAATTAATTAGTTTCAACAGTTTCAAATTTTTTGATGGTACATTTACGATGAATTAAAATCCCCTCTTTGTTAATAATAATTTCCGAACCTATAAAAAAATATCCCTTACTACAAAATGTCTAGAAACTTCTTTGTAGGTGTAATCTCCTAAGTTTTATAGATATCCAATCGCACAAGAATTCAATTTGCAGGTAATTTTAAGGATTACAAGGCCTGCAAAACAACCAAAATTATATGCAAAGAAAAACCTACAATTTTATTCAGATACATTTTTTTTGTATATTACATCATTTTTTAGTTATTGCAGAAAAATTTTTTTTTTCAGAAATTTCTGTTTAACATAAATCAAACTTATTTTCAAAAATAAACATTCTAAAGCATTCAAACTCTTAGAATATACTATTAACACCTTACTGAAGCTATTTGTACATGAATTTTGTTTATTTAAGTTCTTGCCGTAACCCCATTGGTTAGACGTTTCTAAAATTAATATCTATCATCTCCATTGAGGTTCTTTCCAATTCAGACCATTTGGTGCAAAAAAAATAAATTCCCAAAAATACATGTATGTGCAGGTACCTACGCATCTTGTACGTAAAGGGAAATTTTGAAAACTTTTTTGTTTGGAGTGTTCGAGGTGGTTCTATTTTTACCATGAAATCGATAAGCTTAGTGTGAAGTAAAAGTTGACTGATAATGAATAAATTAGTACACATACATTCAGCTTTAAATCGATAAGTCCATTTTGGTGTCGGTAGCAAACATATTAAATGAGGTAACTTTAAATAGCATGTAATCGACTACGTACCGGTTTACAGAATACATAGTAGTAATTAATTATCTTGTTATATATATATATACCTAGTCCAAAAAACACAGCATGTCCAATGTTTAATAAAAAAAAGAGAATATTTTGAAATCAGTGGACCGAACGTGCAGTTTACGTAGTTGGGTTCGCAAAATGCTTTTGCAGTGCTGTCAACTGTTTTTTCGTTGGATACGGTAGGAAAAGGCAACACAAACGAAGAGAGTATTGGTGTGGGGATGTTTTTCTTTTTGTTTGGGATGGGAGTCGCCTGGTCGGTTGTGTTATCATTACAGCTCCTAAGCGCATTGGACATTTTGGCTATGGTTGGCAGGATTGCAATATTTGACACCAACTTCAAGGAGAGTTTTTTTAATTATAAATTGAATTCTTGACCTTTGGACTATTTAAAATTAGTTTCCTTTACTGCTGTTGTTCCGTTACTTATTAATATTAATTCATCGAAAGGGCGATACTTTTAGAAACATAAATTAAAAAAAAAATAATTTAATCGTAAATTAATCTTTATCTGGACATGTTCCATACAATTTTCATGTTTTATAGATTTTACTTTTTATTCGCGATACAAACAAGAACTGTTTCATATGCCCCCATAAACCTATCATTATTTTAGTTATTCTGAATTACACCTCGTTCATATTACATTTTCAAGGACTGCCACTTAATATTCCTTGGAAACGCAACGTCAATGAACTTTGGGAAACACTAACATGTGAAGAGGGCGAAATTTACAAATGTTTATACCAGTATAATAAGATAAAACAACAGACAAACGTTTTCCCGACTTATTATTCTTTGCATGGAAAAATCTGGTCCATTTACTGGACCACCCTTAATATCAACCCCATATAACGTAATATTTAAAGGATTTAACATCACATAAAATAATGGAAAGTTATACGACGCTTTTATTTAATGATATAAAAATGTTTATTACTTCGTTCAATTCTAGAGCTTTTATGATTTTTCTCTAGTTGAACTGGATTGCTAAATTACTTACACAAGAAAATTTTATTTCCTGACCGAAGGGTGGTGAAAAATAGCGTACGCGCCAGGGGAGTAAATAAA